TATTGCTCACCATTGCTCTTAACTTTTTACTAAAACGATGTTTTGCAACTATCATTGTAACAGCTAAATTTTCAAAGAGAAAATTTCTTATTAATTCAAATGAGTCACCTTGTACATTGCAATACGGGAAATACCTTTGCGATGGAATGTATGTACTCAACGAATTGCTTGTATTTTTATTCTGATATTATAATTAGTCTATTTCATTCTATTTTCTATTCTACTTATATAATCCCAAGTATACTAGTTTTACGAATTTGGGCATAGCCTTAGTCTTTTAATTTTTGAATACACAGGATGTATTCAATATGTATAAATTCCTCACAAACATTCTGTTTGCTTCAATACAAAACCGTATGTAGGTAAGTGCCAACAACTTTTGATAAAAAAGGATGGTTAAGAATTAACAGTTTTAAGAAGGTAATTCCAGAAATAATTATAAAAAAGTGAAATACAACAACTACGTAACAAAACCATTTAGTATTATACACAGAACTGAACAATAGCTGTATTAGCGTTATTTTTCTACCATTAAACCACATTAACATTCAATTTCTTATACATCTTCAGGAATTATATTTGACTATACTGATATTTTTTTCTTGGAAAAACGAGGAAATCCATATTTTCTTAAGTTGAAAATTAATGTGTTTCAATTATACTTAATAGTAATTTAACATCATGCTACACGTTATTATACGATCTAACTTAAATATCATAAATCAAGATATAACTGCTACAGTTTTATTATCTGGTTTTCCTTTATTATTAGAATTCTGGTCAATAGTACTAATGTCTATTTCTTTTCCGGATCTTTTTTTTAATTCGTAGTTGGGTCCATTGTAATTAAAGATTTCATAATTCAGATAAAGATGAAAAATAACTATTTTTATCCATTTCTTCCGATTAAGTAGGTACTTAGTTCAAAAGAGGAAACATCAAATCATTTATTAGAACATTTTTGCTGCAAAAAAACTCAATGGGTATGAAAAACTTTTAAAAAATTTTATAATTGGGATGGGGATGCCGGTAAATCTCAAAATAGTATAGTTCAACGACAAATCAATAAAATACAGTATTTGATTTGAAATAACAAAAAAGTAAATAAAATTTTATTAATTTTCATTGAACAAGAAACGTAATAAAATTTTAATCCTCTATAACAAAAAAAAATCACATTTAATGTGTTTTTAACCAAATTTCAACATAAAAGTAAATTAAAAAACCAATTTCAGAAAAAAATAGTTTTTTGAAAATGCACTTGCTTCTGCCTATAGAGCAACATGTTGAAGGTCATTCTGATCGATGAAATGATTTAATGATTTTTTATTAAAATAATGGGTAAAAATTGTTTTTTTATAATATATTATTTTTATTGACCAAACATGGTGGCATATATAGGTTTTAAGAAAAGTTAAATTTTTCCATTTGGAAAAAATACTGTTTTTCTCTGACACCCAATTTTTCTGGAAATTTTGGATCTCTGATTGTACATGAATATAAAAAAGAATATATAACTATCTGAAAATAATTAAAAATATAAAATATTTCGATTTCCATACTCGGCGTCTATTTTTGCATTCATTTTTATCATTTTCCAGTTTAAGCATACATTATGTATACTTTTTTATAGATTTTATGATGACAACGTAAAATAATTTATATTAATTGGATAATATACCTGGAACTATGTCCAGAGAAAACCACATGTTATTTTAAATATGCGGTTTTAAGAAAAGTTAAATTTTTTTTTCAATTTCTTGGAAAAAGGACAATTTTTTCTGTAAACAATTTTTCCAGAAATGTTGTACTTCCGGTTGTAATATATAGACAATATACAGGGCGATTCAGAACTTATCCAAAAAAAAATCTGGATGAACAGGGGACCCTTACAAATACAATTTTGTAAAGAAAAAATCAAAAAGGTCAGTTCGAAATTGATTTAAAAATACACTTCTGCACGGCACTGGAAACTGGTCCAGTGTAAAACCTGACCTAGCACAATGCGACCGTCATGGCGGTGTGATAAAAACGGACAAAAACTTTCGCAAGGAAAGAAATATGTAAATAGAATTTTATCGCACCTATTTTATATCGGCAAATTCAACTGCTTTTGCCGTTATTAATTAATAAAATTAATTTGTGTTTTTAAATAATAAAATCATTTGACATACCCGATGCTGCAACAGCAATTGTTCAAAATTTTATCCACTCACGTGTAAACACATTTGGGTCCGTCTTACTCACTTTCTACGAACTAACACAAATGATGTCTTGCTTCACCATAACACAAATACTTCACCATAATACAAATGTTGTCTTGCTTCACCATAAATTAAAACGATATCCATCAACTCTGAGTTGCTATACACGCAAGCCATTTTTGACACTAACTACTAAAAAACTGATGTAAATACCACAGATAACAGGTAAAAACTACCGCAACGACGGATTTCAGTATTAGGAGTCACATGGCTCTCCACGCGTATTGCGAATGACGCTAGAGACTACAGTTGTCCAGCTATGTAGTGGTTTAATGTGCTATAACTTCAATAATTTTTTTCTCAGAAACTATAAGGATTTTACAAATTTTTTTTTACAATATTGACTCCATTTCTCATGCCGCATCTATTCCCAAATTTTTTTGGATAAGTTGTGAATCACCCTGTATAGACGTACGTATAAAAATATGTGTAGCTATCTCAAAAAAAAGAGAATATAAACATTTTATCTATTTTTACTTTAACTGAACTGTTTTTGTCGTTTTCCAGATAAACATCCATATTTATATTTCTTGATAGATTTTAAGGTGACAAAGTAAATTAATTTACCTTCCTTGTATAATATACCTAGAACTATATCCAGAGAAAGTCACTTATGTCATTTCAGGCGTTCCAAAAATATTTGCAGTCACAGATGAACATAGAGTGTTCTTATTTTGGGTTTTCTGGACATATCGTGCATTTAAAAGTTTGGAAACTGCTTAATTATATCCAAGTATTGAAATTATTTTGCATGTGATACATTGGTAAATAATATGGAAAATAAAATAACTTTAAATCTTAACGTCTGTCCAAAAATGACGATTATTGTGTAGAAGTATAACTATACAGGATGTAATTAAAATATTTGGTCAAGCCGGTCCCACATCATAAATTAAGAAAAACAGTGTTCGAAAGTCCTTAATTTTCGAGATAAATGTAAAATTCGAGAATATGGTGTATTTTTTAATTACGAGGAAACAACAACAGCGATTTAATTGAAATTTAGTAAAGAATTCATTAAAGGCTATATAAAATTATAATTGAGAAAGGACGCATTCTTCTAGGGAGAATAAATAAGTAGGCGCGGCGATATATATTTTTTTTAATAATAATTGCAATAATTTAAGTTGTCACATTATCCAAAAACGAAAAATATTATTTAAATGGTTTTGCTCGACTGTCTTTTCAACTACATAATTTGTGCATATTCCATTAAAGTCTGGAAAAGTATTTTTTGATATGAAACTATTAAAGGATGTTCGAAACATCTGATTTCGGAAATAAAAACATACAGAAACAAATGAACCATTTATTACCGACAATTTATTTACAGTATACCTACAGTAGTAAAATGTAAAACCATAATTTACAAAAGATATATACAAAGCGTACAATTACAAATTTAACACTAGGAAAATAGAGTAAGGATGAGTATTTTTACATCAGCTGGTAAACAATTAACTACAACTAAAACAAAAATATAAAATAAAAAATAGGAATGTTCGAATTATCACAAGTCCAAAACATCCAACGAACAACCATTTAATTAAAAGTTAGTTTCAATGCATCAAGTTATATCAAGACGCACAGTCGATATGAACCCACGCATTTCGCATCTAGTAACATAGGCGTCCACGGTGGGCAAAAATTCCGTAAAATTTAAAATTAACCTCATCGAAACCAATCTGTCATATCAAGACGCCCATGACTAGATTTTAACAAAAGAATTTAGTTTAATAAATAAGTAAAGTTAAGACACTGCTAAGTCCTTCATCCCGGCCTTGACGATGAAGCCTGCGCCAATCTTGAACCAGAACCTAGCAGGTTTTGGAAACCTTGGGCCGCGCCCTGAAAATATTTAAGTGGGTAAATAAACGAATATGATATTAGAAAGTCAGTGTGCCAATCAAAACGACTATAATGATTATTAGTTGCCTTAAAGTTAAAGTATTTTAACAGAGTCAACATTTCTATCATAAGCATTATTTGAAAATTAGGTACAGGTTGTGGCGTTTATATTGATTAAAATTAAAAACCCACGTCCCTTATGGTGGAATCAAGGAAAACAATGTAATTGTTAGAGCGTAATTATGATATCAGAATACTAGTAAAAGAAAGGACCAAAAAGTGTGCAAACTTATCGCAATCTAGAAACAATCCACGGACAAAGGACAAAATTACCTCTATTCAAAGGTACATTTTTGGAAAACTATATTTCAATTTATATTCACTATAAATGCTACACCTTGTGTATTGAACCTTTGTGATTAAATCAACAGAAAGACATGATAGACAAAATTCAGTACTGATGAAAAATTTATTTATAAAGATGTGGTTCTATACAGGGTGAGTCATTAATAATGGTACACAGCTTAATGGCATATTGTTCACGTCAAAATATATAGTGATTGAGCCAAACATGCCTTAATCAATTATTGCTCCTTTTCGTTCTGCAGGGTGTTAAAGTTGAAAAAATATGTTCCTCTTTTATCTATATTTTAAGTATGTATGGACCGATTGTTTTGAAAATTTGTAGTTTTACGTTTTTTGAGGAAGCAAATACGAAACGCAAACAGTGTTGGGGTTACGTCTAGAGGGCGCTAGTTATACTGTCCTATCAATGTAAAAATATGTCTAACTTTTTGTATTTTGCTATTTTGAATTTTTTAACTACAAATTATTGAACTACGTTCAATTCTAAATAAAACAGGTGTATTAGTTAGAAATCGATAAACCGAACCGTTTTCGAGATACAGACGTTTTAAGTTTCTGAGATTCGACGGGAATTAAATTAGAAAATTAGCAGGTCTTAAGATACCAAGCCTGAATTAAGAATTAAGACAAACATTACAGCAATTAATGATTTTATTATGCATATCTTAAAAAATTATTAACTATACCAGCAACTTCCATGCACTTTCTTAGCCTTTTATTAAGATATTTTCTTCTCTAAAAAACAACAAGGAAAAAACTACTTCTTAATCAAATTGAGTAGAAAACAATATGGTATTGTAGTGACAGCTGTCAATTTATTATGTCCATGCCTACTACTTTGGAAAAAATAATTTTCTAATGTAATTCCCGTCGAATCTCAAAAACTTAAAATGTCTGTATCTCGAAAACAGTTGAGTTTATCGATTTGTAACAAGTATACCTTTTTTATTTAGAATTGAACGTAGTTCAACAATTTCTAGTTAAAAAATTCAAAATTGTAAAATATAAAAAGTTAGACATATTTTTACATTGACAGGACAGTACAACTAGCGCCCCCTAGACGTGACCCCAACACTATTTGCATATTCGTATTTGCCACCTCAAAAAACGTAAAACTACAAATTTTCAAAACAATCGGTCCACACATACTTAAAATATAGATAAAAAAAGAAAATATTTTTTCAACTTTAACACCCTGTAGAACGAAAATGAGCAACAATTGATTAAGGCATGTTTGGCTCAATCGCTACATTTTGACGTTAACAATCTGCCAGTAAGTTGTGTAGCATTATTAATGACTCACCCTGTATGTATAGTTTAACATATCTATCACCTTTATTTTATTTTATTAACAGTTACTTAAATTCAATAAGAGAACGCATTGTTTTGTTTTAAATTATTTTATAAAAAGGTCGATATCTTTGAAATAAATTTCTCATTAAACTCTTTTGCGATAAATGAAATGGTGACTCTTTAATATTTTTGGTGAAATTAAATATTTCCTCCATTTGTCCTGTAAATGGGAAATAAAAGCTGAAAAACATTCATTTTCATGCACCTATATAAATATTAATCTCCTTGTAACCGCCTGCAAAAAAATAGAAATGGAATTCAGCCAGTTATAGGTGGCACTTTTTGAACAAAAATGATGGTTAGAACTGTTTAATATGAAAAAATGATCATTTCCAGCCAGTTATATGTGGCGTTTTCATGTAAGGATAGAACCATATTAAAAATTATGATTAAAATTGTATAGATAAGGCTTTTAATAGAAGAAGTAGTTTTAGCTTTGGTTCATGCCAAATTTACCATTGTTAAGTAACTATTTTATTCCCCCTCACGTAATTTTGACACTTAAGTGGTGCAGGGAGGAGTGCTAATATTGGTACTAGCACCATTTGTTGTAGGGTTACTGATTAAAAGATTTCTGAAATTTTCAGATCCATTAGACAACATATGTGTGACCTGGTAAGCCGCATCCTAGAAAAAAATCGTGAAAAAACTGGTTACATCTGTAATTATTTGATCTATCAACTTTTCTCCAAGGGTTTACGTGACTATATTTGATGTTTATTCAAATTACATGCAAAAAAATTTTGTATTTCTATAAAAATTATTGATACTTTCATGACTACTGAAGTGTTTGAAACAAACAGTGATTCAGCAGAACCAGTCAGTCGGCTAAAGCACTATTTAAGTTTTTTTTGCGATGACGCTTGGGCGACCAAGCGCTTACAATTTTTATTATAATATATGAGAGCAAAATGTGTGCATTACGTAAACAGTGTTTAACTAATTCGTAACAAATGGCTATTGTAGTGAATCCCAGAACTAGCTGTGTGTGTGTTTTTGCCCCCATGGGAAAACTCGTACAATATTTGTCTTCCTCCGGCTTTGTCACTTTTGTTTTTATTACCCATTAACAACTTGCGGACTTGCTAACGGGCAGGTAACCACAGGAAATGCATGAATTAAGTTAAAAGTACAAGGCTGACCACATTCAAATCAGTAAAAATAACAATCGGGATAAATAATTCACCACATTTCATGTCTAAGAGGAAACTTCAACTTCACTGGTACAGAATATTTAAAAAATCAACGAGGATCACGAAGATCTTCAAAAGAAAAAGATAATGTTTGTCGTGTCGTGACTAAACCAAATCTGGAAATACTGACTAATACGTGGCTACCTGCTTCTTAATCTTACTTTTTTTAGAAAATTATTCAAAATTCAAATTTACTTTAATAGTTCAACCAAATTACACTTGGAAAAAAAGAAATTGTTACCTGAACTTTTATAAGTGGAAATGGTAAAAGGGCTTATAATAAACATAAAAAAAATTAATGCGTGAGCAGGGGCGGCGGAGGGTTGATTTGGGGGGTTGAAAAGTTATGAAAAATTGTAGCATTAGGATTTCTGGCGAAAGTTGACGTCAAACAAAAAAGTATCTACTACACAAGTTATAGATCATGCAAAAATTTACAACTTTTGTAGAGGTCACTTTTTAACATAACCTCAAAATTTCCGAAAAAAATGCGAAAAACAGGTATTTCTCTGATTTTTCGTTTTTTATTTCTCATTAGCAAAAGTAATTTAATTTTGACGAAACTTGGTGAAAGTATACCTTTCTCTGTCTTAAATAACCTCATTTTTTTTAGATAAAGAAATCAAGAAGTTCCTGAAATATTAATTTTTTTCGACCTGAAACACTTTTTTTCAAAGAAAAATTCTACTTAAAAAAAAAACATCGTACAGAGTTCTGCCGGTAATAATTTTTTTCGTTTTGACATACTTTTTGGTGAAATAAAATAATCTGTAATAACAGTTCCAAAACATGCTCAAAAATGCAAAAAAAATAACAAATTATTGTTGATAATTTGTATAAATTAAAAAACATTCAAAAACCGATTACACCATTCACTTCTACGGAAAAAAAAAACTGTGTCTCATTCTTGGCCCAAAACTTTATTTTTGTCCACAATATTGCTATAATCATCTAAGTCGAATTACAAATGCACAAATGATAAATTATCTCTGGATGATTTGATATTTCAGCAATACAAATTATTAACTGCAAAGTCTACTGTTGACGCGAAATCCGAAAACCCGAAATTTTGCAAAATCGTTTTATTTTTTCTGGCTTTATTTGAAATCGAATTTTAAATAAATTGCATATTTACATTGCCACTTTTTTCGCTCTATCCAATGGCGTCAACATTTTTGCAATCCGACGTTTCGTCTTCGAGGGGCCATCATCAGATTAATTTTTTTAAATATATCGCTGCTATTTTTATGACAAAATTTAGTCATTTTAATTCTGTATTAGATGATATTACTATTGAATTCGTTTAAAAAGGTTTTTAGCTAACATTAAAAATTTTTCCTGAGTACGGTTCTGAACGCTTTCAAAATACCTGTATCTATTGGAGGAGAGAGAGAGAGAAGAGAATAAAAGTCAATACAGCACAAAATGTCCAACAATTTTTTTAATCCATAATTTAAAGAGTTGTTCCTAATAAAAAAATAATACGAATTTATGAAATATTTTATTATTTCTAATTAGTATTGCTAACAGTAGTAAAAAATTGTTGGATAT